TGAGAACCCGTCCTCCTTCCAACCCTGCAGGCGGAGGCCCGGCTCTCTGTTGGGCCCCCCTTTAAGCCACCCCCCTTCTCCGAGCAGACGAATATGCCTTCATGGGCACCCTCATCATCCAGGAGGTGGTTCGAGAGCTCCTGGGCAAAGGGCTGAGTGGGGCCAAGGTGCTGCTGCTGGCAGGGAGCAGGTGGGCTTGGCAGGGGCCTGGGGGGTGTGGGGGGCGGACAGGCGGGCTCCAGCCTTGCCAGGCCTGGGCAGGCACCCACTGCAGCTGGAAACCCTAGAGGATGCTCGTGGACCCCATGGCTGTGGGCGTGAGGGACGCCTTGGACCACCGTGAGCTAGGTGGCTGGTTAGCAGTTAGCTGCAGACCAGTGTACCTTCTCTGAGGCCGGGGATCCCCGTAGGCTGGGGTCTCACTTGGCCAGGGGACCCTTGGGGTGTCTGTGGCATGTTTGAAGGACTAAGGCCACATAGCACATCTTTATTTTCAGGTAAGGAAGCCGAGGCAGATAGTGAGAGAGGGGGAGGGAGGGGGCGATGGGAGTTAGCGGGCAACCTGCCACCTAGCTGCCCAGTCAGTGCCTGGAGCTCTGCCAGCCCCTCCTCTGCCTCCAGGGCCCCGAAAGACCCACGGGCCTTGCCCTGGGCAAGGAATGTGTTGGCCGTTCAGGCGTTTATCAGGATCGCATGGGTTTGGGGCCAGGCGCGCCCTGGGGGCTGAGCATTCCTCACGCCCCATCTTCCCTGCAGCGCGGGGGGCACTGGGGTGCTGCTGAACGTGGACCGCGTGGCCGAGCAGCTGCAGGAGCTGGGCCACCCGGCCGTCCAGGTGCGGGGCCTGGTCGACTCGGGCTGGTTCCTGGACAACAAGCAGTACCGGCGCACCGACTGCATCGACACGGTCACCTGCGCGCCCACCGAGGCCATCCGCCGGGGCATCAGGTGACCCGGGAGGGAGGCCGGGCTCCCGGGCGCCCGGGCGGCGGGCCTGGGGGAGAGCGGAGTCTGTCTGGGGGTGAAGGAGCCTGAGGTGGGGCCCAGGGCGAGCCTGACCTGCAGCTGTGGCCCAGGTACTGGAACGGGATGGTGCCGGAGCGCTGCCGGGGCCAATTCAAGGAGGGCGAAGAGTGGAACTGCTTCTTTGGCTATAAGGTCTACCCCACCCTGCGCTGTGAGTGAGCCAGCTTGGGGCTCGCGGGGCACACGGGCGGGGGACCTCCTGAGCCTCCTGAAATCCAGCCTGGAGCCCAGCCCCCAGAGGCCGGGCCCAGGCCACTGCCCTGAGCTGGAGCAGGGTGACGGAGCCGGAGCCCCATCCCGTTTGCCTGGGACTCTCCAGGTCTCAGCACTGAGTCCCCTTGGTCCAGGGCAGACGGGAACAGGTGGGGGTGGGGGATCACGGTCCACTCCCGCAGTGAGGAGCCTGCTGTAGAGCTGACTCCAGTGCTGCTCTTGGGTGGGGCCTGGGCTAGCCCTTCCCACCCCCGACTGCTGGGGAGTAGTGAGGTCCCCGTGCAAAGACACATCATTCCCCAGCTTTGGTCAGAGTGAGTCCCTGGGAGCCAGACCAAGGTGGCAGTAGGGGGGTGGGCGTAACAAGGTGCTTCTTCGAGGAAGGGTGGGTGCTAAGGTGGACGCTGTGCGGGCCTGGCATCTGACGGAAGAGGCCAGCTGGCCCGGGACTGGGGGACCCTGAGCCTGGGGTGGCGGTCAGAGTACCGAAGAGAGACCCAGCTGAGCCGTCCCCCGCCCCAGGCCCAGTGTTCGTGGTGCAGTGGCTGTTTGATGAGGCCCAGCTGACTGTGGACAACGTGCACCTCACGGGACAGCCGGTGCAGGAGGGCCAGTGGCTGTACATCCAGAACGTGGGCCGGGAGCTGCGACAGACGCTCAAGGACGTGTCGTGAGTGCCGGCCCCTCCCTGGGCAGCAGCCCACCTGACCTGGACAGAGAGCTCCCGACGTTTCTCTTTCTCTCTCCCTTCCTCTCCCTCTCTCAAGTCAATCAATAAATTAAAAAATTAAGAACAAGATGTATTTGGGCAGAGGGAAGACCCAAATTTAAAAAAAAAAAAAAAAAAAACCCCGG